TACGTACATATACGAATATGTAGTAAAGAGATATTTATGTAATGTTGCGGAAAATCGATTTCGAGATTTCAACGAACTGCATGTTTTGGGGCTCCCTGGTACCGAACAAGCATTGTTGTTTTTTTTCAAAATGTTCGTCAGTCTGTCTGCCAATCTATGAACAACACTCGGGCTGATACAACAAGTATTCCTAGAATTTTATCGAAAATGAATAGTGCTTTAAATGCATGCTTTGGGGCCCCCTGGTACCAAATAAGTGTTGCTTTTTCTTTTCAAAATGTCCGTCCGTCCGCCTGTCCATCTGTGAACCACACTAGGGCCGAAACCACGAAAATCCCTAGAATTTAATCGAAATAAATATTCACTAGTCGATCTGGCCTGTCTCAAAGCTTTACGAGTTCGAAAAATCTTGTTTAAAATTTGGGGGTACTTTAAAAGACGCCCCTGGGACATCTTTTATATCTTTTCAAAAATGACTCCAAATTTTTTCTTCAAATTTATTTTCAGAATATATTGCTTCTCAAGATGTCAGAGGTCCGATATTTACTGTTAACTTTGATTTTTTCAAGGTTACAAAACTTTGAATTTTTCTCGGCGTCTCCTCACAACTTTAATATTGAAGATAGATATTTTTTCTTCAAATAAAATTTTTCTCCGTAATTAGTTCTTTCATCCATGTCATGCATATTTCTTTGAAAATTTAGAAGTTTTCATGTGATATTGCGTGAAATATGTGCATCACAAAAACAATAATTTCTCAAAATATTAAAAACAAGAATTTTTCAGAAACGACTTCAATTTTTTTTAAACTTTTGGTAGGGATGGTACTAATTGTCCTGTATAAGATGACATGAACGCCGTATTGCTCTATTCTTTTGTTTTTCCAAAACTTACACAATTGTTTGTTTCTCTGACATTTCTCTCAAATCCTTAATATTTACGCAAAAAATATCGCTGTTTATTTGACACCACTATAAACAGTCGGCTAAATGGTCATCAAGTTAGCACCGCAATTACCAGAAAATCATGAAAAATCAGAGATAAATAAAAAATAATTACATGGGAATTTGTCGCTTTTTTGTTGCCCAGCAGTACCCCAAAAGAATTTTTTTTCAGAAACCAGTGTCTCCTAATACTGGAAATATGAAATGTGCCTTCTTTGAGGCGGGTGACTGTGAAGGAACGACTGTCCGTCACATATAAGTACCACGGAACAACAATATACACCCTGGTTTGACAACCGTGATGGACAGATTGAATCAGACTCTCAGAATAAATTAAGATTTTCGGCCTCACATATAAAGATGGAGTTTCACAATTATTATAATTGTACGAGAATCAGAAGATTTTGAAGTGACGATAGCAGTTTAATGAATTATAAAAAGGACGGGCATATACATTTTACTTTCGTTTTTCTCCAATAAATCGTGCATGTTATTACGACGGAGCCCTTTAATTGCAGTTCCTTTCAAGCATTCGATTTCTCTGCGCGTGCAGCCGCTGCGAAGGATTGGGTCTTGCAGGTGCTAAGAAGGAATTCTCACAATCGTTGCTTTACTGAGGCGGGCGCCAAAAAATAGGTGTCATTGTCCCGAACAGCCTATCTCCACGTTCAAAAGTATTTCTGATATTCACAGTGTTACATGTGTACATATTGCCATTGTTCGAAAAAAAAACTACCCAAAATTATCATCGCTCTCTCTCCGAGATTCGGACTAGGAGGGTAGCAAAGACAACCTTTATGTATTGATTATTTATTTCGTCATAAACAGTAAAACACTGTGTGGGACGTGCTACGCGGAAATTTGCGGGACTTAATTTGAAGTTACATTTATGTCCACAAGCTAAACAAGGGACCATCTCAGCATTTACTCAAGAATGAGGGAAACTAGACGAATGCCTGATCGAGATGGGAGTCATTGACCCAGAAGCTGAAGTACAATCATTTTTACAGGTTCTGCAGAATTGTTGAGTCCAAATGGTAAATGTTTTATTACATGTCATTGTTAAAATTAATGCTACTTTCCTTTTGGATGCTCGTTAGAGTTCCTAATTGTAAACAGTAGAAATAGTTGTGCAGCAGAAAATATTGTTCTCGAGACTTAAACTTTGGTATCGAATTTAATAGTTTAATTTCATCTGGCAAAGAGTTGTTAAACAATGCACATGTATTGTGTGTGAATTTTTTGTAGTGAGCTGTTGATACTAGAACAAGGATTGTAAATGCAAACATCATACAAAATTAATTTCAAAATTTTAATATTCAAAATTAATACATCTGGTTTAGGAATCTATAAAATATTCACGGGAGGAATAGTTTGATTCGACAATGACAGAGCGCTATTCTACCACTTTTTCAATTTTTTCCGAAAGTTCGAAAACATTTTTAAAATTAGCTTAAGCTATTTTACTTGGAAAGAGAGAATCACAATGTGAATTCCATCAAGGAGACAAATGCTGTTTTGAGATCAAAAATCGAGTGGTAGGTTAAAAGGGTTCGTGCGTTCATCTGCTCATTCTTTACGGTAGTGGAATGATAACGGAAGATTTTAGAAGTAAAATATATGTAAAATAAGATGTGAGGAGATGGAATATTGGTGGTATTTACACAATTGGTTCAGATTTCTTTTAGAAATCATTGAGTGATATGTTGATATGCAAAGTGACGAAAGCATAAACCGACTGCCTGGCTTGCCTGTCCTGCAAATTCAGCCTTCTCTGCCGGGCTGGCCGGGCCGCCGCGCCGAGAGAGGGCCCACAACGGAAGGATAAGGCAACGGGTGGAAGGGGGAGGGGGCGAGGTGTTTTCCAAAATTTCACTTTACGACGCTCCTTTTCGGCAGATCGGCATGATTGACCCGGCGTTGGATCCAGGCAATATGTCGCCATCGCACTAAAACTCCACATTTTTACATTTTTTCTCTGAAGTTCGAGCACCAATTTTAAATTCGAATTTTTGCTAGTTTTTGGAAAAAGGGATTCGAATTTATTCTATCTATTTATTCTATATTACAAAGGCATCAAATGTCTTTTACAGATCGAAAATAACATTTCATCGGTAAAGTAAATTCCTATATAACAGTGCTGCTATCTATTAAATTTTTTGATATTTTAGCCTTAACTCGATTCTACTTCTATTTTTGTTTACGTGTCTCGACATAGAGGTAGTAAGAAGAAGTGTCTCGACATACAACATGATATTACTCGCGCAACTTTTCTTGAACGGTGACCTTGCTTCACCCTCTCTGGCACAATAAACAGATGAAAGCGAAAACTCGCATCGAGCACTGATGACAACATTTCAAACACATCTTCACTAGCGCGAAATAGAAACTATTTTCTGTTGAATACATGAACTTCTGACCGCGATTTTCTCCAAAATATCTAAAGAAATGACCGAATCAATTGAAGATCCATCATAGTAGATACCTCGAACTCCTGAGAAAGTTAGAACGCAAATTATTGAGAACATTGAAGTAATGACTGACTCTTCAGAGATTGGCATTTCTTCATAAAATCTAGTGGCCGATTTCGTAACTAATACCCCCACTCTACCAGCAGGTCTTCAATCCATCGTTCAAGAAAAGTTGCGTGAGTAATGCCTTCTTACCTGATGACCTTCTTACCTGTGGATCTAGAGACAAATTTTGGGAGGAGAAATTCAAAATGTTTTGGGCGAAGGGGTCGTATTGCAGATGTATAAAATGTCGTAGGCTACTCTCAGCTTATGCTGCGTTAAGATTTTATTCGTTAAATGATTATCTGAAACTATTTTTGTTTGAAAGTTTCGTGACAAGATAAAATCAGTTATTACTGAAAAGTTTTAGGGAGGAATTTCCCTTATTCCCCCTCCCCGTGGAAATGCGACTATCTGTCGTATGTGGACGTCAATTCTATATAGAATTAAGATTACCCAAAATTCTGCTGATTGAAACCAATTGTTTGAATTGATGACAACCAACAACAAATTATCAGCATTTTCTTTTTCAAAATAATAACTTAACACGTATTTTAACATTATTACATTTTTCAATGAGCTCATCAACGATCTGATCTGTCTTTTTCTGCATACAATAATAATAGTTCCGTACGCTCACGACTTAAAGTTTATGGATTTACAATGATCTTCACGCTCAATGCTGATTTCTCGCGTGAACTTAAGTTATTCTGTCTTGATACTGTCCATTAGATGTCCACGTTGATGTCCCTCTCACCGTAACCTTAATGTCAAATCAGTTGCAAATGTCCTGGGAGTATTACTAGTTATTGGTTTGTTTAGTGAAAAACTAAAAGCTGCAAACTAATTATTCTTTGATCGAAGCACTCCCTGTAATATGTCTTGGGTGGTTTGTACTCGCGACTGTCTATATTCACCCCAAATTGTTAAATTACCATTTCCTTATAGGAATCTATCCTATCACACATTCGTCCTGAAATCTATATAGATCTAAATTTCAGTTTGCGACATTATCTAACATTACATATTTAACTTATTAACTTGCACAACACTAAACACGTCGAAATTTATTACATTTCACTTCTCTTAACTTGAAACACTAAACCCTTAGCTGAAAAATACTCGTACTGTTTTAGCCAATGCACCCATTCTGTTCGACGTCGCTCAAAAGAATGAATATATAGTCATTTTCATAAAACCACAACTTTCACTGCGTCCTCCCTACACTTTTTATATAATCCCCTTGGGGCCTTTTTCCGTTCTCCGAAATTCTTCTCTCATTTCATTATTTACGATATTTTTCTCCAGATTTTGAAAGAGCCGCCTCAATAGCTGCGTTCCACCAATTACAGCGCAGATATCGTCATAATTCTACTATGGATTTGTGAACGGTTCTAAAGATTCATTGAATCGGTTTGAAAGGCGGCTATCACCTTGGCTTCTTTCACTATACTAAGATTTAAGTAACCATGCACTTGACATAAATCACAATTTCATTCAATCACAAGCGTAAACGTCGCGAAAGTGACGTCACTGTAGCGACATTTAAGCTCGCGATTGGATGAAACTGCAACAGATGATTTACGTGAAGTGCACAAATATTTAAATCGTACTATACGAATAGGGATTCATTAATCTCAGGTCATACGGCGCGAAAACCTGGTGCAAACGCAAACGCGCGGGAACCCAAGGGAAATAGCTGGAAAATAGTGTTGGGATACTGTTTGTTGTATTGGGCTGAACGGGTGATCTTGAGACTTTTAACAGTTGAGTGGCAATGAGTGACGATCAGGGTAAGTACTTCGTTGGGTAAATTGTGACTACAGTGTTATCCTTACAATTGAGAGTTTTGTGCATGTTTTATTGTCATTTGAGCTTGTGTTTTCATTACAGCTGTTACTAGCAGCAGCAGGAGGCGGCGTGAAAAGACATCAAGTTCAGGGCGGTTTGCAGCCCTAGCAAAATTGAAGCAGCTCAAAGGTAGCAAAAACAAGTATGAGGTTTCGGATCTGGAAAACGTTTATGAGGAAGTTGATGAAAGGGAGTATTCAAAGAGAGTGCGAGAGAGACAAGAGGATGATTGGATTGTTGATGATGGTAAGTAGGAATTGTTCCTTAACTTGTGTCAGGAAGAAATTCAGTCATTCAATTTGTGATCTTTGAGCAAAAGAATTGACATTACAGATTCATTTTTGTTCACGCAATTGAAATGTTAGGGCATTCCAGACTATTTGCTTCCAGTGTTTGGAAATGTGCTCATCAGGTCAATAGAGGTTGCAACAACTGTAGTTGAACTCTGAAGACTTATATCCAGTTCATGTTATCAGCTTTTCTTGTCGGTAGTTACTGTGCATTTTGACATATTTCCTCAAAACCTACCACAACCAACCTATCACTGTTTCAGTTCCACTAAATTTTGGGCCATAGATATTCACTATACAACCTTTTTCAGCTGCCAATGTGATGCAATTATAATTACAAATTATAATTATTAGGGTGGCATGTAAATGTATTCTTTTTCAATTATCACCTTGTTGGGTTGGCAATTTAAGAAAAAATGTCTATCCAACTAGGTGGAAGGGTGGTGACAATTGAAAAATCAGGTAGTGGTCAATATCTAAGGCATTAGTATCTAACTTAAGTTTTCTCGACTCAGTTGTTCTGAGGTCAGAGCAACGGTGTGTATACGAGGAGATGCTGTTTGAATCATTGGTTGCAGTGACTTGCGTAAAACAAATAAAAAATAGAAAAGTTTTGTGCATTGCTTCACAAATTACTTAATTTCTCCAAACCCTTTGATGAAATTCATGTTTAATATTTTTTCCGAGTTACACTAATTTCCTACATCAAATTTTTTAAAAACCTTCTATTTTTAGTAAATAGACTACTTAATTTTTTTGATTGTGTGAAAATTGTATATTGGATTTATTGCTATTGAATCTCAATTTGGTATGCATATATTATGGATAGCTAACTGTATCGTAATAATTTGGGCGTACATATCTTTGGTTCATCTCAAAATGGAATGTGGAGTAGCTTGCTGGGTTACTCACAGAGATTGTCAAATTAAAACGTTAAACAGAGTAGAAAAAAGTTTGGGGGGGGGGGGGCTGTTCCTGGTTAAGCAGTAGACCTCATCGGTGTTCCTGCATGATCCATTTCTTTCATGGTCGTCCTACATTTCTCTGCCCAAGTGGCTTATATTTTAGGACAGCCTTTGGGAATCCTTGCCTTTAATTCTTTTAATATGTTCCAACAATTTTTTCTAGATCTTTTTAACTTCCTCTGTTATGTTGGTTGTCTTCAATATTTCCCTTAAGTCTTTATTTCTCTATTGATCCAGTCTAGTATAACCAAAGAGGTGTCTTAGGAACCTCATTTGATCTGCTTCCAATCATTGGTTGTCTCTTTGTTTTAGGATCCACATTTCTGATCCATATGCATTGGTTTGGCTGTCATGGTGTGTATTCTTAATTTGATTTCTTGTGTCATGTCGTTCTCAAAGTGTTTTTAATTATTCCATGTATTCTATCATATTTCACAATTTTGTGTTGGAGGTCCTGGGAGTTTAGTCAAATGTCATTGCTTAAATATTTGAATGTTAGTACTTGCTCTATGTGTTTTCTTTCTTTTTTTCACAGGCCTTTGCTATTTTATTCAGTTCATGCGTTGCTATTTGGAGTTAATCTTCCAATTCAGCCAAAATTGTTAGGTCATCTGCCAACAGGACTGTTTGTATAGTTTGTTTTTTAATTTTTTTTTGCATTCCTTAATTTACTGACTTCTTCCATTTGATGAGATTGTTGGCAAAAATGTCATAGCGTTTGGGTGATAGGCTGCATCCTTGTCTCAGTCCTCTGTTTGTATTAAGGGATTTTGCGAATGTCCCCATTATTCATTTTTATGGGGATTTTTGGGTCCATGTAGTGTGTTGATAATTTCTTCTGGTATTCTTCTTCTTTTCCTTCTTTTTTTTCTTTTTCTTTTTCTTCTTTCTTTTACTCTTCTTTATTTCTTCTTTTTCTTCTAATATTTATCTAATTTTTGTTGGTAAGTTTCTTTCATTTCTTTTATCGAATGTAATTTGTACTGTGAGTATAGCATTCTTTGTGCTCCTGTACTTTCTGAATCCGCATTGTTCTTTGCCCATGAAGTTTTCACTGTACTTGTTCATTATATTCCTTAATATATTAGCAAACAATTTTGAAGTGATTGGCAGAAGCATTATCCCTGCAGTCTATTCTTGTTCCTTGCTTATGTATGTTTATTACCAAACCCCTTTCCCCACTGCTAAGATTATCTGTCCATATTTTGTTAAATAGTTCATTCAAAATCGCTTTTAGTTTTTCACTTCACTTTTTGTGTTATGTAATCCACTTGTTTCTGTGTCTGTAGGAATTTCTTATAGGCTTTCTTCTTGTTTACAGTGATTTTTTGTATTTCTTCATTCCAGGATCTTATTCACTTCTTCTTTTTTGGTCTTGTAACTCCTAAGCTTTCGTTTGCTGCTTTCATTATTGCTTGTTTTAGAGTTGCCCAGAATGTGTCTACGTTTTGTTAGTTTAAGTTTGGCAGTTTATCCTTAAGTATTTTTTCATATAAATATCTAACATTTTTGTCTAATAGATGTACCTTTAATTAGGGACTTGCTAAGATGTTCTTCTCTTTCTTCTTGCAATGTTGAGGGTTGATTTTAATTTTGCTCTCAAGGAGGTAATGATCACTTCCTCTGAAAACTTTGGTGTCTTCTATTTTATTGAGTAAGTCTTCACTCATAATGAGATGGTCAGTTGAATTTGTTCTTCCTTCCCATGTAAATTTGTTTATATTTTTGTGTTGGAAAAAGGAGTTAGTAATTTTCAGATTATTAAATGTATAGAAATCAATTAGCATTTTCCCATTGTTATTGATGTCTTCTTCTCCCTCACTTCCTTTTGATGTCAATTACTTCTTCTCTACCAATTCTTGCATTGAAGTCACCAGCTATTATGTTAAAATTGTTCTTCTCACATTGATCTATTACAATTTGTAATTTATGATAGAATTTTGTAGTTTCTTCATCACTTCCTCCACTGGGACATATACTCCAATTAAGTTTAATTTTCTTTTTATTATGTTAAGTTTGTTTGTTATTATTCTTGGAGAAATTCATCTGTAATTTTCCATATTGTGTTTCTGTGAACTTTTCATAGTTACAGTTACCAGCAGTTGTTCTCTCTTCACTCCTGAAAGTAGTGTAGTAAGAAATATGCATGAGCTACAAACTGATTCCTTGTATGCCAATTATAGTTCATTTTCCTCTACCTTAGATTATTCGTGAGGTCCATTTAATGATAAAATAGTGATTGAACAACAGTATATACTTTCTCACGTTATTGGAAACAGCTACGTAATATTGAAAAATTGCATTTTCTGATTCACTAAAATTTATTAAAACAGTGCAATTAAAAAAAATGCCTGTTATGTATATCTGCATTCATTTTGCTAATCAGGTGTAGCAATCATTTCTTACTTTGACAAATGAAACAAGATTGCATTTGAATGTAAGTTACTTACAGTAGTGAACAAATTTATCCAAACACATTCTGTCCTCTAGAACATTTGATTTTCACACTGGAATACATTCCAAACACATTTTTTTCTGGTACTTAATAATTTATAGGTCCTCCTTTTGTTGTTAAGTTCATTTATTCTCTTAGGTATTGAGCCTACTTAAGTTAAACACTGTTTTCTGAATTCCTCAAGACAAAAGCAGACACTGACAAGTGACTTAAGATGGTTTGTTTTTGTATTGTTCTTTTTGAAAAAAAACTAAAGCTATCTTTAGTGTTTGACATGGTGCATGGACATGTTGGATGATCAACGCTTTGTTCTTTTCAACTAGTGGCATGGTTCTTCTCTCCAATATTATTAATTTATTGATCATCATTCACCCTAACAATGAAGATAGCACAACAATGAGCCATTGGAATTGAATAATAAGACAGCTGTGACCAAATAGTCTACCAAATAATGGAAATAATACGATAATTCTCTCTCTTCGGATTAATTTATTCGCTACTTAAGTTTCATTTATTTTTTCTTCATATTTTTCTTTAAGTTATTTGTAATTATTAGACTCTGGAACTTCATTCACTGTAAAAGTTAAAAATATTCACCCAACCATGCTCTTAAAGTAGCCAATATATGCACTTAAGATTAAGAATATTTGTGAAACAAAAATGTATTTAGTAACAGTTAACATTTCTTTGTAAGTAATCTTCATTTTATTCTGTAGTACAAAACAGTTCTTGTGCATGAAGTTATACGAAAAAAATTGATTCAAGTGAAAACAATCTTATTAGAAGACGAATATTATGTTGGTATTGTAGCATTGGCATGGTTTAATTCACTTTTATTTTGAAAGGAAAATATGTTTTAAGTAATTTCTAAAAGATTAATGTGTAATGTATAACAGTCGAATGTGTGAAACGAGCAAAGAAATGTGAAGAAATATTTAAATTCTAATACAATAAATCATAGCAGCCATTTCATTTTATTACTAAATCACACAAAAATTAGTTTTTTTAAAAAAAAAGTTTGTTAAATTTACTTTGTAACTGAAAACTAAATAGTCCAAACCTTTCTTGCAGATTCTTTCATAAACTAGAGGGGGTGATGCATTGCCAGTATTGGTTCATTAGATGTTGTAATCTCCAATGTAGGAGTGGATCGCCATGTTTCAGAAGTTCAGCACTAATTTTGTCGGTTTCAGTAGCCTTTTTATTGTTTAGTTCTTTTATTGATTCTTGTTGCAGATTGGATTAGAACTGTTGTTAGTTTCTCCTTCTTTACATTCCGATCTTTCATCTCTTTGTCCATCGTACCATAATTGTTTATAACGTTCGATCCACTCTTCGTTCTTCATAACATCAATTCTCATTGTATCTCTTTCTGTCTTGTTCAGTTGTTTCATTACCTTATATGCGGCATTTTGTCTTCCATGTACGTCATTTTCAATTTTACTTATGAATTTATTCCAGGGCTTTTGGTTAACTTCGACTGTATACTTTGTTCTGTTCCTGTTTTATAGTTTTCTCGGGTTAATTCGTTGTTCTGTTGAAGCTTTTTTTAAAAATATTTTTCCTGTTTGTCTTTGCTTCTGCAATTTCTTTTTGCTCCTACAAACCTCCTTTCAAACCCTTTTTGCTCCTAATCTTTTGCTTAATACCAAGTGCTTGCATTGCTGCTTTCTTTATATTAATCTTTATATTTTCCCAATTTTTCGAGGTCATCGCACGCCTCCGTGGGCCAGGCCACGTCCTGGGGAGGGGGGATGCAGGGAGGCTCTCAGGTATTCCTTTCTTTCACTTCTTTTCGTAATCTTCCCCATTGTGCATTCTCGTTATTTTATAGTATCCTGTCTCTTTTATTCTACCCCTTCTATTTTATTGCCCACCTTGTATGCAGAACGCCCACCCATGTGTTTGCCGTGCATGGCGACACGTGTGGAAGGGAAGGTGTGACCTGGCAGTTGAGGCACCTGTTGTTTCCCAACTACTCCTTGTGCGACCTCTGCCTTGCACCTAGGATACGTTGTTTAACGTACTTTGCGGGACATTCCAGTAGGCTTGACTTGCTTGTCTCAGACTCTTCACGGCGGTCGGGGCAGCTAACCCCTCCCGATCAGTCGGCTCGGACTAGTCTTGTTCCGAACTCCCAGGGTGACGGGGATCCCACGGGGGCAGCGCTGTGGCATTCTTCCGCACTATTGCTTCGTGTAACCGTGGCGCCCCAGGGTGTCCGTTGTTGGACTCCGTGGCTGGGTGTGGGAGCACGGGATGAATCCGCTTTAATTCTATGGAGCCACCAAAACAAAACCCCTTGCCCTCTCTGAAAGGGAAGAGGCGTATGTTTGATGAGCAACGGGTGTTTTGAGGTATTTCTTCCTTAGGAAAGAAGATAAACCAAGGAAGAAACGTTTCTTTTAAGGTGGCGTGCACTAAAAGGAGAACATTGTAAAAAAAGTACTAGTGCGGTTCATCTCGCGCGAGCCTTTTGCAGGACAGTTTGGTGAACTTACAAGTGGTGGAGTAGAGCTTAGATTTCATCACTCACTTGCCGTACCCCCCTAACGTAGTGTGGCGAAAGGTTCGACAGATCGTGGAAGATTCCTTTCGCCGTCTGTCTCTGGGCTTCCTGGTAAATGGAAACCTTAATACCTCACCAGAAGATATAGGTTGAAGGAATTGGCCCGCTCACTACAGCGTTTTCTCCAGCTCCCGTACCCTTCCCTCTCCTAGGCTTTCTGAAGACCCAAAAGAAGTATGGAGAACTGCATGATTTGGCGTGAAGCCATTGTTATTCCAATTTCTAAAGAAGAAAGGACAGAACAATCACTTCACACTTCCCGGCCAAATCTCGCTCACAAGGCGTGGTGTGTAAGCTTTTATGGCGAATGGTAAAGAAACGTCTGGTCTGGCTCCTGGAGCAAAGGAATCTATTTACCACTTTTTCAGTTTTGGGGGCGCAGTCAACCATGGACAATTAGTCTCCCTTACCACACAGATCTCCAGTTCTTTCGTGCTACGACACCTGGTAGCAAATTGTTGTCGACATAGAGAAAGCGTATGACACCACCTGGAGGTACGGCATTCTCCGCACCTTGCATTCTTGGGGCCTTAGGGGACGGATCCCTTCGTTTCTAGTTGATTTTCTTTCGGCACGGTCTTTCCGCGTCCGCCTTGATGACACGTATCCTCAAGTCCATCCCATAAGCACATGAAATGAATACTTCTATAGTGTATAGTGATTTCTGTTCTAGCATTGCCGAGCCGAGCAATTGACAAAATGTGGGGGGGGGGATTGTTTTTCGGGCGATAAAGTGATAGCCGTGAAGAGAACGAGGCTTGCCGCAAAAGCTAGTCAATAGTAGAGAAATCAGAAAACTAACTAGAACGAGAACGTCTGTACCATTCTATAGCACCTCTAATTTATTTATTATTTATTTATTTAAATAGCTAATTTGCAATAAACTTTTTCTGAGATAAAATATCTTCACTTTTGTAGTTTTGTAATTATGTTGCAATTTTCGAAAAAAATGAGCAATACTCGAAAATAGGACTAGCACCATATTTCTTACTATTCATTATTACATATATGAAGAAATTTTAAAGAAAAAATATGCTTTTGAGACTTTTTTCGTAAATTACGCAAAAACTACTTTTACAAAAAATGCACATGACCTTTTTTAAAGTCCTAATTGTGTACAACAGAACTGTCTGAGCCAAAAACCTCTATCAATTTTGTAATTTGGAAATTTTTGTTTTGAAATTTTCGAAAAATCGGAGGTATTACCGAAAATGAGTCCTGCACCATTCTCTTAAACGTGTTTCGCTAGGAAGCAACAAAATTAAATCAAAAACATTGGAGCATTTTTGTGAAAATGTTGAAAATATCTGAGGGACTTCATTTAAAGTACTTCCCATAATTAAAATATTGGTTTCAAAATCTAGGGGCCACGACATCAGCTAGATCGATTCTGAAATATTAATTTTGTTGAAAATCGGCATGAACGGTTTAGCCGCTAGCGTTGTTCAGTCAGACGGACAAACGTTTTGCCGTCAATCGATTTTTCGGGATCAAGGACTAAGAACACGGATTCTGGCTACACCACGTATTAGAGAATTCCTCCCTCCTAAATTTAGAAACAGGATTTTTCCACATACAAACGTGGAACTGTGCATTGTTTTTGGTGTGCGTCCAATTTAGTCTACACCCAGTAGAAAATAAAAAAAATAAATCATTGTTGAAAAGTTTATGAAGGTCTACATATTGATAAGTGTCCCATATCAAATGCAGAATATTCGATTTGCTTAAATACTTATTTGTAGTTGGAGAACAAGTGTTGTTCGCAAATGGACTGAGGTTTTGAGAAACTGGGAAAACAAAACCTCGAAATGAATATTGACATCAGTCTTGCAATTGATATATCCTAATGGATATACTTTCTTAAAATATGCAAGTGGAATCAGAATGCATTAAAGAGATCAAGTGATTTCTATCATGATAAAACCACTAAATTTCTTTCAAGTTGTACTATTATGGTGGTTACCACACTTAATTACTTCCTTGGGAGAGTTCAGGGTGTGAGTAATATAAGGTCAAATAATGAATATAAAAGAAATGTGTTTTTGTGAAACAACATGGAAAATGTATGATCACAACTCTGAAAAACTGGTAGAAAAGACCTTGAATTCAAAATAAGCAAATCTCTACCCATTATGTATTAATCAAATAATGAACCAAATTTGTTTTTGTGTTCATGTGAGAAATATGCAGTAATTTTTCACAATACTGTTTTCAAAAATTGCTATATAGCAGAAGTTTAATTTGTTTGCCATCAGATTCATATACAACTCACTTTGAGGTAGACTCCATTTTGCATTCACCCTTTAGTTCTTCTTATTTTCCAAATATTTTTAGTTCACCCTGAGGTGCGATTCTTGTGACAATAGACAATCTTTTAGAATTGTTATCAGGGTGTTTGATTATAAGTAATATTTTGTTTTTAAGTTTACATCTATATCAAATTGTGAATTGATGGTAATGCATAATTTTTTCAGATGGTGTTGGTTATGTTGAAGATGGTCGTGAAATTTTTGATGATGACTTGGATGATGAATCAATCATTATTGCTTCCCGGAAGAAAAAACGTGGTGGTGATCATCGTGGTAGTAAAAGAGTTTGTTTGGGAACTTCAAAGGACCAGGAGAAATCAAATAACATCCGTTCCATGTTGGCCAACATGCCTGCAAAGAAAGAGGTTTGTCTTGTAGAATCAATTTTTTTTTATTGATACCTACATTAAACACGGCTGAAAAGAAATATTCAACCAAAATATCACAAGTTCATTTGAATAAATGGAATGCATGGCGACTTCTTATATAGGCTCTTAAATTTTTTGGTTACTGGTAACTTGATAGATTATTGAATGTTGGAAAAGATGATATTTGATGTAATCAAGGCAAGCTTGTGTGAAATAGTATTTTTTCTTTTCTGTAAAATGTGCTGTAAATACGATAATAGTAAAATTTATTCATATTTGTATCATTTGTAAAATTTAGAAATTACTACAGTTCCTGACTATTGAAATAATGGCAGGTATGCACCATAGGCTTTTAGTTTGAATTGGTTGATTTGTACTTTTTCGTATTATACCTGAGTTTTTAGTATGGCAGAAATTACAATATTTCAATATTGAAATTTCTGCCATACTAAACTATTTCCAATGCCCCGTAGAATTATTTCCAATAATTTGAGAAAGTAGGTGCTATTGTAGCACCTCTTAAGTTCTGTTTGTTTCTACATTGTGAGGGTTTGTTTCTACATTGTAATGGTTTTCATACATTTTTCAAATGCATTCTAGAAATTCGGATTCCAGTTCGGATTTAATAAAGTAATTTTGCTTATTTTTATCTGGTATCACCAATGTTGAATCTTTTTTTTAATTTAGTTAGACAGCTTCCTTTCTTAGCTGAGTCCTTAGAGTTAATGATCAGGGGTGGAACTCAATTAATTTTCCTTTTCACAGCCCCTTTTTATGTTGTACCATCCATGTATCTGACAAAACTCAATTTGCCAATTTGCAACTTCAATTTCCCAATTTGAGCCGTGCACTCTTTTCTTGTAATATAACTTCTTTCTATTTTATCTAGTAGATCTCTTAGTAAAAGTAATTGCCAGCCTTCAATTTAAACTTAATAGCAAACAGATAATATTCAATTTGATTAGATTAATTAGATTAAATTATGATTACGGTAGTTAAAGAATTGACTGCACCTGCTGGAAATCGAACCTGGTTCTCTCATTGCCACACACAATTGATTAATTGCACAATTGCACTTGAGAGACTAAACAGTGAACTCTTTGCATAGCATTTCATGGCACACCCTTGATAATAGTAGCATTTTCCACTGTGTGTCTATGGCTAGCTTTTATAAGTATGTATCAGTGTATGTTCTCTGTATTGCAATTGCCATGCTACTATTTCGACTACGTAGGTAATATTTGAATAAGTGATGTTTAAATTATTTGTAGTGTCATTCATTTATAACATGTTGTTAGGCACCAGTGAGTTTAGAAGAAGATGACATACTGGGTGGAATCATGCAGGAGATTAGTGGTGATTCTACTCCACTTACCAAAGAGAACGCCGAGATTGACACTCGTCTTGAGTGTTCTGAAGAATCTGCTGTGTAAGTTATTTACAGTAATTATTATGTGAACTCAACACACATTTTTGAGTATTTTTTATAGTTATTAATATAGTAACTTTTCCCAAAGAGTTTTACCAACTGCAATGGCTCAGTGACAACCTACATTGCATCTACAGCACTGACTGGGAGGTCCGTGAGTTTGAGTTCTGATAGTGGTAAATTTTTGACCCTGATTACATTCCTATGTCAAATTCAAACACTGTCTGGAGGAGAATTCTAGTGTCTAGCTGATATAATATTCCATTATTTCTCCTGTCAATCCTAAGTAAATACCATAGCAGTACTCCAAAAGGCATAGGCTGGGCAAATTTTCTCTTCTTCATCCCTGACCTCGCTTTCCTCTTTATGTACTTGCACGCCCACCCACTCTTGCACTCATCCACCCGCACTCTCACTGTCGCTCCCCCCCCCCCCCCCACCATCATTAATTGCAATGTTAACCTGACATTTTAGAAAATGGAAAATATTTTGTCAAACCCTGCAACAAGAAATATTAATACAGAATCTAGTGTTCAGTTCATGATCAACTCAGTAAAAAGGCATGTTATTTGTATTCGTTACAAGGACAGAAATAATTGAGCAATGTAAAATACAGTCAATAATATTCTTGGAAAGAAAATTAGAGATGCTAAAACAGCACATACTTTCTCACCATTAGTTGGGCAATACTATTTATATCTCAATTTCTCTCCAAATTTACACATCTCAGACTCCTCTCAGACTTTTGGAAAATTCATTACAAATCATAGAATATTAGGTGGAAATACTAAATATATTAAATCATTGCAAGCAAATATTAACACAATTTTGGCAATTACTACTGCTTGCCAAACAGCTTAATCATGTCCTAGAAACGAGATGGAATTCACAGAGCTACATCTGCCTTCTCACCAAGCAGAATGCTGCTATTGTATTCCAACCTGATATATCCTGAATGCTAACAATTTATTTTTAAGAGAGAAAATCTTATTGGGCTAGTTTTGATTAAGGTTTTCAAATTGCTTCACAGAAAATACATCAATACATTGAGAATGCAAATGCATACATTCCTCGCAATAACTGAAGAATCCCAAAAATAATAATGAAAATGTTAGGAGTTTTGAATCTAACTTTGAATGAGAATACTTAGAATCTGCTTGGTTTGTGTTTGAATGTAATTTTTCAAATTCAGCTTTGCACTGTTTTTTCCCAATTATTTTCTCACTAGTTCCTTCCGCTTCTGAGTAATACATCATTATGACCAGAAAATGTTTTTCTTTCCCTTCATAAAATTGTTTTCAAGAACTGCTCACTGTGAAAGTGAACCAAAATATTAGTTTTCTGGCATTTATGTGTGTTCCATTCCATTCCAAGTGTTCTGTGAGACTACATTTCACTGAATCTTCAATTTTATGATCTTGAGAACGAGGAAGTGCTTTATCTGGGAGAATTAAATTCATAGATTTCTGAATTCGATATACCCTGCTAATCTATAACTTTTTTGTTTTTGCAGAAAGTATTTAAAGAAATTTACTGAAGTAAAACCAAAGGCTATTTCTCAAATTGTTGCTAAAAGAGTGTCCATCAAGAAGAGTACAGTTTTATTAAGCAATGCTGTAAGTTGTATTTATATTTTACTAGTGTATCTGTCTCAGAACCTTTGCTTGTTAAACTCACCCTCTTGCCTATTCTTTCATTTCTGTATTAAGCTGATATATCTTTTTGTGCAAGGCCTTCTTATTGTGTGTCTCTCCTTGCAATTGTACTGACTATATTACGTATTTTAACATAACTGTACTATACAAACACGCTGTACATACATGTCAAGTGTGGGACACAATCTGGTGACACAAAAGGGAATGTTCTTAGGTGGCGTCTTAGAACAATACAAATTCAATGTGCCAAACTTTCATAGGAGCCTAAAAGTCAGAAGATGTCACAGAATTGAATGATGACTAAAAAAAAAGAAACATTGATGAGGGTAGTGACAAAAACCATGATTATAATAATTTTAATGAGCAAGAAAATGATAGTTCATCAATAAGTCTTGCATTCTTATCAACAAGACAATTTTCTAGTTAATATCACATTTTGGAACTTTATTTTGACTAAATAGTAAGAATTAGTTCAAAATTCAAAAAACGTTTCAGGAGTTTTTTTAAACTTTGGTGTTTGTCTTCACTGACTACCTATATTTGGGTAAATACGGTACGTAACTATATGGATAAGAACAACCCTTTTGGAATTAAGTAACTAGGTAGGTTTCAACAACGCTGCCAGGATGTCGCAGATTTGGCATGAATATTTAGATACTTTTTTCAAGAAATCCCTTCATATTTTTAATGTTAAAGTGCAAATTGTCAAGTCTTTGTGAAATTCTTTTTCTGTAAAGACCATTTTTACACAGATGATTGCGTGTGACAGCCGGAAAACCGTTTCTACTATTGAAATAATGTAGGAGAGGATAATCTTTAGTAGAGATCAAATGTCACAAATTTCCAAGGTCAAAAAATATCTGTGTTGTATAACAATGTATACAAACATATAATAAACACTAAAATAAACATTCAGAAATGTTGTGGTCATTTTCTAAGTGGCATAGGTAATTTAAAGGCAGGAAAAGGATAAATATAGTTTTTATTTTTTTTTTTTCACCACAACTCAACTATCAAGAATATCTGAACTTAATTCCATATATTGTACTTATGTCTGTTTATTAATTAAAAAAACAAAACAACACAATTGGTGATTTAAGAGGAAGTTTTGAGATTTTTTTGTGCCTGTTCCAGGGTTTCTAGGTTTGAAGGTTTTGCTCTATTCAAACATTAAGCTGTGTTTGAGACATTTTTGAAAATGTAGGTGGGTATTTATTGAAAGTACCCACCAAAATTATGATTGGTTTCAAATTTGTGGGGTCACGAGAAGTGCTGAAATAAAAGAGAAAAATCCTGTGAACAGTTTAGGCACTTAGTTTACTACCTGGACCTACAGACAGAAGTTTTTCAGGGACCTTTAAAATATGCATTTCAAAGTACTACATTTACATGAAAGTAATACTGTATGTATAGGAACAAGAAAAGTCCAATTTTTCATCTTGGAGATCCACAAAATATGTTTTTCTGTCAAAAAATTGGTGTCTTGTGGTATTATTAATACTTTCAGTATTCTACATATTCGAGAAAGAACAAAAAGTGATTAGCAATCAGCATTGGCCATTATTGGCATCTGTAAACTGAAAACAGTTAATTTGAAGGCCTCTCATTTTACTACTTCTCAAAAGGATTTTTTAATTTTGCTCCAAGATGCAGGAGAGAAGCTCAAAATAGGTGTAACACCAACTTTGATATTTTATTCATTACTTACTCTTAATTCAGTAACAAACGTAAGTTGAATACTGTTGCAATACATATTATCATACTGTATAGAGACATAAAATGTTTTTAAGATTAGGATAGCTGGGCCGTAAAGCTTGATTCATTATTTCATAATTTTGATAATTATTCTGTACTGTTGATTATAGTTAAGTGCCATCTGTGGTGCATAATGTAAGGTTTTTAAGAGTTTGAACTTGGTAGGCTAAAAAAGATGCTTTTAATTTTTCAGAAGGAAGAACATAATGTACCTGAAGATAGTTATGATACAACATTCCATGAGGAGGATATCACTGACATTTCTCAGGTATAGTGCTGCAATTTGTAACTTCTGAACAGAAGTTATAAAGAATGTAGCTCTGAAATGCTTGGAACAACATAATCTTTGTAAATGTTTACATTGAATTGAACTTTCTATTGTGTAAAAAGGCAGCTATCTTAATATTTCTCAAAGGGTTATTTGAGTAGCAAGCTGTGAAAACCCCTTCATTACAATTTAATAATACAGTAGAACCCTGATTTATTGTGACCTTGATTTAACAATTTCCTGCATTTAACGTTAATTTCTGAAAGTCCGGAAGATGCCTATATATAATTAATGCAATTATATTTTCAATTTAAAGTCATTAGTTTCGACGCACGACCCGCATTTAACGTTCAGAATTTTTTCTC